CTGTTCTAGGGAACAAAATCACTTTAAAAAGAAGAGCTAAAGTTCCCGCTGACATGTATGTGTAGTACCATGTAATACAACGTAATGAATTAGGGGGATTTACAAGAAGGAGTATGCGCAATTCTCCGAACAAATTCAGATTAGAGGGCTCAGCCAATCTTGTTGCAGAACAAGATGTTCTAAGAAAAAAGTGCTAAAGACTCCTTGGAGATATTCATCTGGATGGCTACGTTTGAGATTTGCAATTTTATGGATCTGGTTGAGATTGTAGTATTGTGCGTGTGATCATGAGGCATTATGGCTTACGCCGAGATTGCAGTATCGTGTGTAGTCACAACGAACTATGGTTCTGGTTGAGCTCTGGTTTGATGCGTGTGATGAATCGTATGGAACTAGATGAGATCGCCTGATAAAAAAAACCATTCATGATAGCTTTAAGAAAGTGTCTAGGATAAACATTGGATTAATCACTCGAAGAGAGCGTCAACATTGCTTCTTTTTCTTTGACATGTGCATGCCTATAGCTATATCCCATGGTGAATGCAGTTGAGATCTTGCATGTCCATGCCTCGGTTTGAGAAATTGCAAGTCTATGGCTCTGGTTGAGTCATGGCGCACTGTGGTTGAAGTTGAGATTGCAGTTTGTGGATGTGATATTAGCAGAATGGAACAGAATAAGAATGCTTTAGGAGAAAATTAGCATTTACGATATACATACAGTCTTGATGAAGTGTCTAACGTAAACATTGCAGTAAGGTTGGGGGCCAAGTAGACAGCAAAAGGGATGGGAAAGACCCCAATAATTTGGTGGGTAAATGGGTAATCAGGGGCCTAGCCTTGAAGTGTAAACTTGCACCCCGTCACTTGCATATTTAATTCGATCTGTATCCGTATAGACTTTGTGAAAGTATGCTGCTTCACTGGTACTTGCAATCAGGTATTGATCCATGGATTCTTGGTTTCCTCATCAGACTTATTCTGATGCTGTATCAGCAATCTGGTGAATGAGAAGAAGAAGAAAGCCAGATGATAACACATCAAGGGGCGAGACAATGGACGAAGTACATTGACTATTTCTCTACTGCAACTGGCGGCATAGGCAGCTAAACTTAAGCACACATCAAGCGTCCAAATAAATCACAAGCGAATGTTGCTGTACCATCATCGGCTGATCGAACACTGATGAATTTCAGTTCTTACACGTGAGGGCATGACTTGGGTTGGCGCCTCCTTTCAAGCTAGCGTCCATGACCCGGTGCCTTTAAAGAAAGTTTCAGGATATGAAAAGCAAACCGCTTTTGTTACGTTGATCTGTTGTCTGACAAGCCCAAACGGTACCAGCAGACAAGACAGTACCAGACACGAGAGAGGGATGGAGCGATCCAGCTTCGATTTCTAGTCAAATCGTCTCTACATGGCCAATATGCAAAACTGCAGATTGTCCAGCGTCTCGAGCTCGGTTGCGATCGGTCAGCCTAAATCGTCTCCTTTGCTTCCGTCCTTTCTTGCATGCGTGGCTCCAACCGATTTACCCAATTCTATGTAAGCAGACATCGGGGGATCAAGTATCAGAATTATGAATCTGACAACAACTTCTGCACTGTCGGAGCCCTGAGAGGAGTGGCTCAGGTAGCTGAGGACAGGACTTTGCTAATCCTCTGATCAAGGAAGAGATCTGCTCATCGGAGCAGCTGCAGCGTGATTTTTTGCCATTTGGAGTGATCGTCATTGGCATGTATCGCTCCTTGGGCTGCGATTTCGACGGTTGAGGTTCTCATGCGTCAGCATATTAGATACGCTGCAGCCTTTGCTTGTTCGTAGAATGTGTTCAGAGTGCTTGGGGAAACTTTGCTGACCAGGCTCAGACGACGGCTGCGCACAATTAGACTTAAAGTGCAGGTCCGGGATGATATGCACATCCTAAAAGAACTCGCATTCGTATTTAATCCAAGGAGAGTTTATAGCCAAGGAGGATACGTGAGAAGTACATACGATCATGGCGAGCATCAACTATGGTGCTGGTAAAACTTCTTTGCTCTCAACGATGATGAACTGGAAAGTTTGAGCAATTTTCCAACAGATGAATAATGCACACATAAAGCTCCGCCTGGTCCATGCTCCGAAAGATGTGAATTCGGATCGAGAATCAATCCTGAGCCTCGTCCATTAGGTGCTTGACGGTAGAGTCTGCATGGAAGAGAAGGAAAGAGAAGGAAAGAGAGGAGAGGGGAGGACTGGAGGTGAGGCCTGTAGGCGTAGGATACTGTATGCACGAGAGATGGTGCGGTCCTACAGTGGTACGTGGGAAGGTTAGACGTTACGAAAAGGGGCAAGTCTCACGCGACCATAGAATCAGATATGGCATTCTGCAGGATCATCAGAAGAGTAGGCGACAAAGGGCCTCCAGAGAAAGGTGGATACACTGGTTCGTCTTCTTTTGCCTCATTCATTGTCCAGAGCTTTTTTGGTGGCAGACAGTGGTCAGGACCGGGTTTCTAGTTGGATCCAGTCGGTCGATTGAGTGTAGGAAAGACGGAAGAAAAAATGCTGGATGCTGGTTGCTGTTCGCTAACCGATGATCTCCACGGCAAGCAAACGATTCGAAATGATCATGGCAATTAAGAATCTACATGTAGACTTTTATTCTACGTTCAGAACATAAAAAAAACTCGCATGGTGCTATATTGCTCAAGTCTGCAGCCTAGTACTTTGACATGTTCCTCTTTATGATATCTTTGATTCTGATGTCTCTGACTAGTATGCCACGTTTATGTACATTTTCAAGGGATTTGGATCTTTCTACTTTAAGTGCAAACTGTTTCCAAATACACTAGTTGCCTGTAACTTGCGTAGGACTTCTTTTGGTGGTGATGTCTCCACATCTTTGATCTATGACGAAGATGTTTTCGTCTCTTCTTTTGGCGATGGAATTCACAACAAACAGGTTATGAAGCAAATCTACATCTCGTTCATCTGCATGCTGAGATCCAATCGTGTGCAGATGGTTGTTGGCTACCCTATATCTTCCCTTCATCTTTTTTGGTAGATATTTTTCTTATATTGTAATCTGAAATGCACTTTGGCACATTATCTGATCGAGGAGATTGCATGATACGCCAAACCATGCTTGAAGGCAGGGACATACTTGGGTAAAAATCTAATGATTTCCTATCCACTTTACGGTTACGGATTCTCTTTCGTACTGCACTCATGTAGACGAAGGGTATAATATAAAGGAGAGAAACATGCCGTGAAAATGACTGGAGTTATGAAAGAATGAATTACATACTTTGACAGGATCATAATAAAGGCAAATCCATCTTAGATGAGACTGCACATTGAATCAGATGAATAATATCTAGATGTTCACACCTACAAAACTTGATACTCTATGTTGCGTTAAAAACAGTAGACTTACACAGCTTGAGCAAAATAACATCCACTCAGAAATAACACGAGGCATCACAAAAGTATACACTGGTCAGATTAATCCAGATCTGCTACATTATTAGGTGGACCTTCATAAAACCATAGCATAGACCAAACTGACCAACGACCACCAGCTTAATTCAACAAATTTCGGAGCCTGATAGGGTCTAAACATCTCATATAAAACCAGAACAGGTTGACTCCATAGACCTCAACTTCATCATGACACGTCGTGGCGGACTTTCATGGTTCCCACATGTCACATATGACATGCTCGTCCCAGTCTCATAATGCTACGAAAAGGTGTGCACTTTTCTTCGGGGAAAGTAGGAGAGGTTGCAATCCTGTCGGCACGGCAAGTCAGTGCCGACAAACAGATAGAGAGAAGAATGACAAGATGGTTGGTTCTATGTTGCTGCTTTCTTCAATTCCAACCTATGCCTTGAACTTAAGGATACCGACAAGAAGAAACAACACTTCTACTCTACTTCTCATTTCCAAAGAGTGAGGAAGATTATGGATAACATCAAATGTCTTACTCTTTGATTTAATCATTGAGAAAAATAGCCTGACATAAAGAATTTCTATCATTTACTTGAAATATGCTTGGGCCAAACCGCGTGAATAAAAGAATGAATATCACCGGTTCTCTTTGCATAGAAGAATTCAAGTGTTTCGAAGACAGAAGGAACACTTTCAAGCTGAACCCAAACGACTCAGATGTCCCACTCACTGCGGGTTTTTTTATTTTTTTTTCCTTCATTTTCTCTTCATTCTCTCCTGCATTTCGACCCTGCGTATGTTGTCATCTCGCGTCTGCTAATGCATCTTTGCACCTCCAGAATATCTTTTCCAGAATTCACCCACGTTGTCTCATACGTACAGTACTCTCTTCGAGGCCCATCTCTAAATATAACCTTAGTGGCCCTTTCATTGCTCTATTTTCCTTGATTTAGTTTTCCATACCCGCCAAGATTTCCCCAAACGTCCGTTCCCATTTCCTGCGTCAGGCCACTCAACGCCTCGGATTCATCCGAAAGCGGAAATCCACGTCACAGCTCGACCCGTCCCATACGGATTATTCCCCTCCACCATGTCCAAAAATTCAGACTTTCCAAAAAATGGAGACGAAGACGAGCAGTCCTCTAACTTTGTAGGCCCAGGAGATTCGAAATATCCTGCTGAATCTGAGTGAATGTGCAGGAGGCTGCAAAGTACATCAAAAACTGAATGACAAACAGCAGACAAATCCAAATTGTGGACAGAAAGTGCAACAAATCTCAGCATCTGGACGTGCATGTGAGAGATAGAGAGAGTGGAGTTCAATCAAGCCACTGCCACAAAAGGCCGGACACATTAATACAGTGGAGAAGCTCAGCAGCAGGAGGAGGAGGTAAAGTGAGAGCAGAGGCCGAATCGCACAGTGCAGAGCAGGTGTCAGATTTGAGGATGGGGTGATGGGGAAGATTCCGAGGACTGCGGAAATGGATGGAGATTTCGAAGCCGGTCGGTCAGTCTGACAGTTGAGTGGAATTGGGGTGAGGTGCGGTGGGGTCAATGGGGCGGGCAGTGCGCGCACTTTAGCATCTTGGCACGCCACCCTCCCCACCACCACACCAGACCAGCCTCCATTTGGCTGCTCCTGCTTCGGTCACCGCCCCCTGCCGGTCGGTCCTGCGCCAGAGGCAGGGCCTTCCTTGCTTCCTTCCTTCCTACTAAGGCGCTGCTGCTGCTGCTGCTGCTGCCGAGCTCGGAGTGCGAATCAGCAAAAGCTTCTCGTCCATTCTTGACTTGCTGCTGCTGCTGCTGGGGCTGCTGTTCTTCTGGTGTGGAGGTTGGGACATTTGCCGATCGGACGGGGCGGCAAGAGATTGGGAAGAGAGCGAAGCAGTGTGATGGTGTTTTGATTGGAAGGCCGGAGGGAGGGAGGGAGGGAGGGAGTGTGTGCAAGGTTAGGGCGGTGGAGGAAGGGAACAGTTCTCTTCATGTGGGGGCGAGGCTGAGGGTTCGTGTCTCGCTCTCTCTTGGGCCTGCTCGGCGTCCGTCTTGACGAGCAATTCTCATATCCCGAGGGTCAGGATGGTGTCGGCAAGCAAAGAGATGGCAGTCTACTGCTTTGACACGCTGGTTGCTCACTACACCGGCGATGTTGCTCCACCTCCCGGTTTTGAAACCGGCACTTTGTAAGAGCTTCGTCCTTGGTTTCTGTTGCTCTGGGATGTCTCTTTTCCAATCTGATTGTCTGCAATTCGATCGTCCCCTGTAATTGCTCCACTGCTCATCGGAAATCTGTGAACCGATTCGGCCAGTATCTCCTCGAGGTACCTCTCTTCTTAGAGAGCGAGGGCGGAATCCCGTTCTATCTCTGTGAAACCGAAGTTTCATTCCGGATAATTGTGTGGTTGAGGATACAATTCGGTGCGTGCTCAACCACACAATCATCCGAGGTGGAGATCGACAGAGTTAATTATCTTAATAATTGGCTACTGACGTTCGTCTCAGCGGTCGTTCCCTCCGACCTTCGTACTCGTTGTCTCTTATGGCTAAAGAAAGGGCGATCAGCCGTTCGTTTTTTCTGTTTTGTTTCTGCGTTTTGTTTACGTACACGCTCAGTGTTGATTGTTCGTGTCGGGTCTGCGTTCTTGCTAACCGCAAATTGGGTCCTCCGTTTGTTCCGGATGAAGTTGAGGGAAACCACGAGCACTCATTGTTGACTTCAAATTGCTCATCGGTGACGATGCAAGTCTACGGTGGCGTTGGTATTTCGATGCTGAGCACTTTGGACGAGTGAAGGTTCTTGGACTGTTGCTCGCATCATCTGGATTCTGTTGATGATTGTCACCCGAAACCTCTCGTCCTTGTATCTGATCTCCCCTTCGCGTTCATGCTTCTCATGCAGTGATGCAATGCCTTTTGATTCACGTTGCATGTTCGCACGTCATTGGAAGCACCGCCTGCAGTTGGTTGCATGGGTTGCCCTTGCCAATGTATATATAATTCGGGATCATTGTTATCTCACGGTTGCTCTTGAGTAGTACAGTAGCTCATGACGATGAGTTCTGCTGCAGACTTTATCGTCGGGATGCTTGGACTTTTTGATGCTTAAATGATCAATTTTAGATGTTTCCGTCTGATACTTCTTGCTAATATTCGAACTGTTTTGCTACATGTCTGAGTTCCTATATGTGGTTATTCGTGTATAGAAGGATGTACGCTAGTAGGACCCATACTGCCCGTATTTCTTGTTGACATAGTGTACTCATCCCTTCGTCAAACCTGCTCTTTTGAACAATTCTCCTTTTCTTATACCCGACCTTTATCACAGGAACGGTCATTACGCGACCTTGTTCTCACTACGACGGAAAAGCATCCAATTGTTAAACCGTTGATAAATTCCTCGACATACCGTAGTACGATCCCGATCTTACTGACGGACTCATATTTTACCGAAGCCCTAATTTCTCGTATCCAACTGCTCTGCTATCTCTACTCTGTTTGACCTTTCACTTAGTTGGCACACGTGAGTCTGGCCACCTTGGTCCGACAGGTTTTTGGTCCCTTACATATCAATACCATAAGGTTAATCATGTAATATGTTATCTATTTCACGTTTCCGTGTATATCCCAGTTTTGTAAAAAATATCAAACTCACGTTTTTTTTGACATAATGGTCTGGTATCTGTATTCCGTTTGACCTCTTGAGAAAGTCCAGTGTCTTATTGGGGACTTCTGTCAATTTATAAATCCTTTGTCACATCCAGTCTTCTATCTATACTCTGTTGGAGATGTGCAGTGTGTACAGTACAGTCAGTTAATTTCCCTGTAAGCTGGGGACCATGATTGCTTAGTAATCCCCATCTTGAATATCAAACCCACATCGCAGTCTCTGACGTAAATTTGTTTATTGGAATGACAATGCTGCTTCTTTCCTGTTGTCTAAATAAGCCACTCATTTAGCAACCAGCCATATATTGTTAACAAAAAATTGATAAAATCACCAGGAAAGCTTGAAAAGACTTATGGCCTAGTTATTCAACAGAAAATCAATCGAAAATATCTCCATAACTGTTCCTACTTATTTTGATATGCAAACTTTAAACCCTTTAGACTGCCTACCCTTCTCCTTTTTCACTGAACCAGGATATAGAATTGCTGCTGATAGGTCTAACTTAAAGCCCTCCGATATCCGCAAGGCTTTTACGAAAACTTTATATTATATATCACGATAGGCAACTCATAGTACACAGATCCTTCTCCTTTTCCTATTGGAACTCATTTTGAAAGTGCCTCAATTTACCAAGGGCTCGTTCAGGAAGCCTTCATGTTTCTTGATAGGGGTAAAATATATCAGACAGCGAATTGCAGTGCAGCGTGCATTTCCCTCAGCAGTGGAGAGGAAGATTCAAATAGTAGATGATGCATGTTCCAGGCCTCCCCTCACCACTTGATATCACGACTTGCAGGCATAGATTTTAAAGTAGCGGTTTAGTAGTGTATTGCAGTTTGGATGGGAGGCCATACTGGAGAGCCCGTATGAGTTGATTGTTCTGCTACCCGCTAACTGTGGCTAGAAAAGATTGAAGGTGGTGCCATCTCCAGAAGACTGTTGTTCATTCAGTTAGAAAGTCAAGAAGTATTTCTGATTTACATATATTTACTTTCGTACGGAAACATTGCGGTCAGCATGTTTTTTAGTCACGTACTTCCTACATGGATCGTTTTCCCATCGTTCCTTTTTCCACCATGCGTCGCCCTTCCTCTTTTTTACTTCGTACGTGCTAGAGAATGTTTGCATGGGGGATCGATGCTTCATAGGAGCTACAGTTTCTACTTGCACATCCATTTCGCGAGCGTGCTGATGGGCAGAGAGTTTTGCAGGATCTCGTCTAAATCTATCAGAGTTATCAAATAGTTTCGCTCCAAGTTTTCTCCTTGCTACTCTTGAGTTTTACAGAATCTCGTGACGCGGAGTACCGGCTCTCACTCAGCTACGTCGTTGCCATGAACGGCGTTGATGCGTTCATGGTGTCTACGTGATTGGATTGAATTTTTGCTCTGCTCCAGCCGTTCTAATAGTCGTTACATGAAACGTGCTCATTTGACGGTCGACTGGCGTGTCCGTACGCCATTATCTGAGCCCTGCATGTTCTGTTGTATTCACGCGTCGTGTCCGTGCATCAGATTCAGAGGTTGTGATCCCGTCGGCCTTGCAGATACGTTATAATCAGATCAGATACAGATAAAGTAGCTTCTATCTGTTTCATCGTTTGGAATGAGACATCAAGAACAGTCTTTCGTCGATCAATTCACTACGAAGTCTACCGTATCCGTGTCCGTGAGGATGGAGCTGATGACTTCTGCATAATAAAAGTATGGTTTTTTTTTTAGGTTTAGCCCATTGCCTACGCCATTTTACTCTCGATGGTTTTTAACTACTACTTCTCTCGCTGTTACGCGGTGATCAAGGTCCATGGTCGTTCTGCTCTGCTTTTCATCTTCCTTGGCCACTTGGTCTTTGCAGGAAAAATATCAAGAACACAGAAGTGCGTGACCGTCCGTTTAGTCGGTTTTACGGGTGCTAAATGATAAGAGCATTTCTTTGTTGCGTTCGTTCGGTTTGTTGGTTACACTGCCATAACTGATTGGTTTTGACATGAAATATTATTTATAAAGTGGAATTGCAACAAAGCTCAATTGTCTACGTGCAGTTGCATATGCATGAGTGATTCATCAAGTCATATTGACTGCCTGTCAATTCTGTCATTTCTGGTATGCGGTCATTTGGCTTTTACCTGTATGGGGTCCTTCGTGGGACTTGCCCTAGCCTTTGATATCACTACTTGAGAGGAAGATAACGCACTTACACCATCATAAAAAGGGTAGATATCTGCCGTGTTGCTATATTGTACCTCTGGATGGATGTTGATTCTAAAATTGAGCCCGGGTTTCTGTTGTTGTGTGTGGCAGTCCACTTTTTGTCACGTGGAAAAAGATTCTCAATGGCGGAGAGCCGCGCCTGCGTGGGTGTATCGGGACTCTCGAAGCCCGGTGCCTAGTCACAGGATTTAAAGACTACGCTTTGACAAGGTAAATGAGAAGATGCTTCAGGAGCCCAGTCTATCTTAGTTGCCTCTGGTGGATGAAAATTTGGTCTGGTGGTAAGAAGATAAATTGAAGAAGGAAGAAGGAACCCATGCGGACTGGTTTGTCCTCAACGACCATGATCCAGCCCAGGTGAACGAATATTCTCTCCTTTTCGATCAGTAGACATCTTAGCCTAGCAGTCTTGGCTCCCCCTTGAAGCCCGATGAGTCTTGCAGGTCAAGATCACGTATTGCACAGACAATGCAAGTAGACGACCCAGTTCATTGGGTTGCCGGCCGTTGAAAGTTTGTAATCAGGCTTATGACCAGGGGATATCAGTCTCCTCAAGAAGGCAAGATGCTGTACGGTCAGACGTATCTGCTGAAAATATCTGAGACTGCAATGTACTTGCTGTCAGATGATATCGGTTGGTTTCCACCAAAATGAAACCACGCCCCAAATGATGCGCTTGGGACCGCCTGCGTAAAACAAACAAACAATCAAACGGGTCAAGAGATTCTGTTGTTCTCTTGAGATTGTAGGTACTCTGTTCTCACATGTGTTTTTTGTTGTCTGTCAGTCTGTATGTATGGCTGATTATTTTAGTGAAATTGCTGTGTGTTGTATTAGGACTAAGGTGCATTATGGAACGTCTCATTATACACTCCTCCTCTTCTTCGCTTGTGGTGTGTTTAGCTCTTGTGTACTGCTGTGCCCTTGAATGGTGCAATTATTGTATCATGCCCTGATGTTCCTGTTCTGGAGCTGGGCTGCTGGGGTTGCCCTTCAACTTTCCCTTTGCGTTGGCTCATCTTGGAACGTGAGAGCAACATATCAGTGTTGTGGTCTTGCTATGTGTCAGCGCCCTTCGTGATCGTCGCTTCCCTCCCATTCAGGCAAGAGAGATCCCGAACCTGGAGTGTACCGTGTCCCTGCTGACGGACTACGAGTCTGCTTCCAGTTACCTCGATTGGGAGGTAACGTCTCTTCTTCTTCTTCTTCTTCTTGTACCAGTGAAGTACATCATTTCCCCGCATATAACTGACAACTGTCCGGAGCTGTATCAACCAGTATTGGCGAACTAACCAGCCTTGTCTCTTCGTCTGTCTCTTTCGACCAGATTGGGAAACACGGCATGATTCTGGAATTCACTGACGCTAACAACTCCAGGCATAGCGCTACTTACCTACCTGAGGTGGCAGCCCAGGAAGGTTGGTGTTCTTCTTTCTCTCCTCTTTACATACGGCTTTGTTCATTGTCTGCCGAATTTGGACCGATGGTTTGAAACCCCCCAGCTTCACCTGTCTTTCGAAGACCCCTGCATGCAGCACTCGTGAAAAGAGTTTCGGCTCTTTCGGGTCAGAAGTGTCCACAATTTTAGTAGTCTGTGAATTTCAGAATGACTTTTCCTTTCTTTCCTAACTGGTCTCGATCTCACTGCAGGGTGGACAAAAGTGGAGACCGTAGATTCACTAGTTCGTAAGGCTGGGTACATGGGCCCCATCACAGAATCCTTACGTCGCAGGTTCCGAATCACTCGCTATCAGAGTTCTCTGTACACCATGCACTACAGCGATTACCTTGCTTATGTGAAGAGGACTCGTGGAGTTGTTCCTGTCCTGAGTGTCAAATGTTGACTCTGGAAGCTGCAGCTGATTTCGATGTTGGGACCGATCTCTAGACTGTTCAGTTGCACTGCAAGGAAAGACCAGGAAAGACCAAGTAATCATCCCTTCGAAGCTTGATAGCTGTGGAAGGTTCGTTCGTTGGGTTAATTTCCCAGCTGTAAAGATTTTTCTCTGTGGGGTTTTGGATATGCTCAGCCACCAGTTATCTGTTCCTGACCACACCTTGATTAAAGGAAAGCTGGATTCAGAGTTACTGTGGAAGTCACATGACTCCCATGGCAGTAGCATTTTGTTGCGTTTCAAACATTCATTAAGGAGATTGCCAATCTGATTTTTATGGCACGAATAAAGAACATTTTGCTCTGGTATGTGGCATACCACATCCTTCAACATTTCACCAGGACGCATGGAAACTTGAGAATATTTTTCGCGTTGTAGACAGTTCACTCACTCTCATTTTGGTGCAACCAACGCGCACGGCCTTGACTGGCCAACGCCGACTGCAATTTTGTTTTAGTGTGAATGTCATATGTCCATGCCGACTCAGGGCAGTATCCTTTTGCAAACTCCCGACTCTAGTGACTGAAGAGAAGAAACTCATGCTGAATGTGTAGCAAGATGCGGTACAGCGTATGCTAATAGGGAAATGAGTTTTTCCACATCAAAATCTGTTTGTATCTGGAAATGAGTTTCAGTCACTATCTCCAGTACCAGAACAGGGTTATAAGGAGGTACGAAAATCCTTAGATCAAATACTAGGGACGTATCGACGGCTTTTTTGCCCGATCGAATGGATCACAAAAGGTATTTGGATCGTGCCTAATTCACGGGACTCTACTCTAGAACGCACACCAATGTTTAGTGTGTCAAGGTTGTTCTCTGAGACAAACGTGAGCATAAGATACTTCACTCTTATTAAAGTGCCAGAACTGCGTTTTGGCATGGAGGTTATTCACTGCAAATTTGTGGTCATGATGTCCGGATTATGGTCGACATGACAACGGCTAATGTAATTTGATAAGTTGATGTTGAGTATTACAGGTTTTTGTCATGGAATGATATTATCCACAAATTTTTAATTTAGCATCAGCATCATTACTTCAGGAATAAACTGAATTCCTTATATGTAGTTACAACACATGGTAGAAGGTACGATATATTGAACCTGTAATCTGATCTCTAATCTCCAAAGCTAATGTTTTGAGTTTCAAAACTTTACCCATACCCATGAGAAGGCCTCTCTATATAGGGCGAATTCCTTATGTTACGTATCTCGTCAAAATAAGGAACATTTTCAGAACAAAATAAGGAACATACGGAACATGACATAAATCTGTCATGTTTTCTTTAATAAACTTCGAATTTGACTACAGTGTAATATACCTTCAAGAGAAATGGGAGTTATATTGGACCTATGAATATCTTTCTCCCATTTCAAAACTGAAAAATCACTTTCTACCGTTGCAGTATTAGGAAATGGACAAGCTAATCCTCCTACAAATTCCATAAGTCGAGGAAACCTGTTCCTAATATTCGGAGTACTCCAAGCTTCACAAAAATCAGACTGCTCAGTCAACCTACTCAAAGCATTTCGAAGACGATGCTCTCTGTTTACAAAAACCAGAAACTCTTTGTGTTCTTCCACTATTTTATCTATGTCCTCTTGTTCCCGAGAAACTTGGAGACGATCTTGATATTTAAGAACTTACTGAACAATTTCTCATGTCTTCATAGCTACCAGTTCCTGAGGCAAGCTAGGTGGCAAAATACTAGAAGCTGTATGGTTCAACTCATCACGTGTAGCTTCTACCTTGCTCAAATTACAAACTGCTTCCAAAAACAGGTTGCCAACTGCATGCAACACTTCACTTTTTGAGTCTATGTCCATCTCTGCCAATGCTTGGGTAGCAAACAGACCTTGATCTTCGATTAACCCAATCAGATTCGCATGACTAACTTCACATCTGTCCAAGGTTACAATGTCAAACGCTGGGGATGAGTTTAATTCAATCCCAACTCGCTCTACACATGCAAAACGCTGTAAGTTAGTAAGCAGATCTTGAAGAACTGACTTTTGGTGTTGCAAAGTAGTTCTTCTTCCTTGTAAACCTTCCACACACTGACTTACATGCCCTGAAAGCTCACTTACAACTGCAACGATAATCCACCAAGATAATGAAGGCATGTCACGAATTCTTTGAGAAACATCACTCTGTTCAAAATAAGCCATGATTTCAGATCTTTTTTTGACCAAAAAACGAGATACACGTGCATAGAGGCCCAACGATTAGTAGATAAATTTGGACAAATAGCTTGCATTTCATCTATCAAAATTTTTTGACGTTGTAAAACAGAAATCAGTGAGGTTAGAGTCTTCTGAAATCCACAACCAGCATTTTTATATATCTTTTGCATCACAATATCTATCTGATGCAGCAAACACCATACACGAATGAAATTTGGTCTAACTACTTCCTGAATACGTGTCGCAACTCCAGATAAATGTCCTGTTATATTTTTAGCACCATCAGTTGAACACCCAATTAGCTTGTCTTTCCATAAGGGACAAACTGCATCAAACAACTTGCAAAACATCTCAAACATAGCCAATCCTGTATGTCTACCAGAAAAAGGAAGTGTGATAAGGTGCAAATTTTCAATAGAAGAATTTTGATAAAACCAAATTCGAACATCTATCCAAGAAACTCCCTGTAGGTCACAAGAGGCATCAAAGGCTACAGAAAAAGTCCAGGCCGAGTGTAGTATCTGAGCAATATTTTCAATAGATATGGCGCATGCGGTTCTAACATAAGAAGCAACAAGAGATTCACTACAAAATCCAAGTTTGGGAATATCACATATCTCTTTCGCATCCTGAACTGCAATAGCAGCTATTGAGAAGAACATTTGTTTTGTTGCAACAAAACGAATTACCAGCTCAAACTGTTTTTTCTGGTTAATTTAAATACAGTAATTCCCATCATCAGTTAGTTTAAAGAGTGACATTGCATTTGCTCGAGATTGACCATACAAATCATTTTCATTCCATAGCATGTCTCCTATAATCACATCAACAATTGAACATTTGATTATAAAAGTGCTCATGGCAGACTTATTTTCCATGAAATGACAAATAGTTTCAGCATGTTTAATAGAAACAGCAAAATATTTGTACTTATCTTCAGTCGAAAGCTTAAGATACTCCCTCCACCTCACCTGATGATTGATGCGAAGATGCTGCATGTAGTTGTCTATCCTGAAAGGAGGCCCCTCAAATGTCCAAGATGTAGAGGATTTTTTAACAAGTTCTTCGCGTCCGAAACATACACAGAATCTACACCTAACTGCCACCACTTCAGAAGTTCTAGCACCACGACTTGCTATACAGAGACCATACTGTAATAGATGTTTTTGCTGGAATGGAGTTTCGTGGAGTGGCTTAGAAGGAGGTTCAATAGACTCCATCAAGATTGGGAAAAAAGTCCAAAACTACTTAGCAAAATACAAATCCAAAAATGTGAAGTTCAGAGTAGAACTTTAGTGCTCACATGTCCTGAAAAGGGCTGCCAAACCCTCACCAAGGACCTCCAAAAATGCATCTGCAAAAGCAAAGAGTAACATTTGCTCAGCCGAATCCTTTTCAGCTCTACCAAAATCAGCTCAGCAAAATCAAGGTACCAAAAAAACACTCATACAAGTCGGAAGAAAAGGTACAAACGATGCTAAGATTCCATCACAGGTCATGGGGGAATAGTTTAGTCAACCTGCGAGTCACATAGTTTCCACTGCATGACAAGACCATCCACATTTGAAGGGAACGAAATAAAAATCAAAACCTGCCGTTTATGCTCAATTATGACATCATGCAGGAGTTCAGATGCAGTGCTAGTTTACTGCTAAAAGGCTATTTCATTACACTGTTGCTGCACTTGGCAAACATTGGAGAAAGATCAAGATATTCATATCCAAGCGGTTGGCAACATCCGAAGGCTCGTGCTCAGAACTTTAACTACAAACAGAACAAACTTCATGCGCTGAACTGTACAATCATAATCAACACGACTTGCATTTGTAACTTTGTCACCAACGCAAGAGGCTTACCATAAACATTAAAGAGCAGAAAGAGAATCACGAAGCCCCAGAACCACCAGCTGTTTCACAGTCAAAGAAGAATTACTATGGAGCATGTGTCGTAAATTGTTTTGAATCCAGAAAAGAAAAATGCCACACAACTGCTACAGTGACTTCACCTGAATTTTGGTTTTTTCAAGTCGCTTTTCAAAACCTCCTACATATACTAATCATCGATACTGCAACAAACCGAGGAACTACACTGATCTGATTCCGATAACAGATCTGAAGTCTACCTCCATGGATCGAATAACATAATCACGGAAGTTGAAAGATTCGGTCAGTTGGTGACTCTGATAGCAAAATTGTACTAAAATTTGTCAGTTTACCACCTGAATATAATATCTTCGGCATGTCAAGGGTACATACGGTCCTGCGTAAAATCAATGAAAAAGAAAGCTAGAGTATGAAGGACACTTACAGACAAAAATCCGACTCGAAATACCAGATAGTCTTTCCTTGAAACAGAGGCGAAGAATTGTTGAAAGAAGCAAAGCTGTCACACAAGAAGAGTTATGTATCACATTGTGAGTAAATCAACCGCTTCCAGTAGTTGACATCAAGCCATTGTTTGACCAGTGAATGCGACCCCTAACTATTTCAAAGACTGTTAACTTAAAGATGCACAAAAGTAAAAATTAAGATAAAAAAATAGAGTGGTGCTAAATAAGGATTTTAGCAACATTCGACTTCTAGAAATTCAATTTGGAGTGGGGTGGAAACGTACTATCCAGAGTGTAAAATTGTTTTCGTAACATGGATGAGAGTGTCTGTCAACAAATCCAAAGCCAGTAGCTTTGGGATTTTGAAGCTTGTCACAATATCTCTTCGTTAAATCTGCACATCATTGGAATGCATAAAATGAATATACAGAATCAGATCCACCAAAGTCGCTTCTAAGGTATTCACCACCAATCCTTCGGCATGAAGCATTTCCTTGGCAGCTACGAACAAGAGGAGGTGAGCTGACAGGTCTTCGATGAGACAAAATAGTTCTTACCCGCTTTGGTGCTGTAGTTCTCGGCTCTAGTTTCTTTCTCCCATCGTTGCCAGTGATGCAGCTAGTAAATTGAGAATTCATAACCAACGCTTTGTGAGTATTAGCAAAAGAAAGGCGTGTTTCTTGAATGCCCGTAGCGATCTGAAAGTGCATTGGGCAGCCTATGTTTCAAGAAGATGTATGAAGCAAGTAAGTTTAGGCTAGAACTTACTCTTGAGAATCTTGGGCGATTGGCATGCTTGAAACTGATGGCGGTTCCTCGTTTAGGGCATGGAGTGTGAAACACACAGCATCTGGACTAGCTAGTAGGCAGAAAATTGTTTTTCAGTACATTCTTACTCCTCTGTTCCGCCGTGAGTCTCTTCCCTGTCAACGCAGCAGATCCCGTTCGCAGCTAGGCCACAGCAATCAGGTATTTACAGAGTCACAGATTAACGTTCAAGTTCTTCGCAGAGAGTGTCGTCGTTGATGGGGATAAAACGTAACCACTGACAAGTGCTGTCTCGATTATGCATACACAGAAACGGGCAAGTTTTGCTCGTGACACTCGTTCCCGAACTGCAGAAGATCTTTCACGGCCAGCCAACTTCGACCAAAAGTCGGTCGGACAAACGTAAGAACAGATGAAAGTACACATCCACCACCCTCTTAAGTGGTCAGAATTGGGGGCAGGGCTTCTTGCAAGGCTCCCAGAATGGGAGCTTTAGTGTCTGGGAAGCAGGTCATGCCTGGCAACTCCGTGACATCTCCTTCGTGGATGACAGCGACGCGACTGATTTCGCGAAGAGTGCGCGTGGGAAGGTTATCGAAACAGGCGTTTCGATAACCTTCCCATACCGTTTCGAACGCCTGTTTCGAAACGGTACCTGCAGTTGAAGTTTGTTAGTAGCGCCTCCAAAGTGAACGAAGTCATTTATGGTCCAAATACGGAACTTTAAAAAAACAAAATACGGAACTTTGACTCAAAAGTTCCGTATGTGCAGTATATAGAGAGGCATGCCCATGAGTGTATCCACCCATGGCAACTTTTCCATACCCATTACCCATGAGTCCATACCCATAAGCCCATCGTCCATATCCAATCTAGTACCCATGAGTCTATACCAAACTCATACCCATGAGTACATCGTCCATATTCAATCTATTACCCATACCCAACTCATACCGATGAGTACATCGTCCGTATCCAATCTAGTACCCATGAATCTATATCAAACTCATACCCATGAGTACATCGTCCATATTCAATCTATTGACCATGAGTCTATACCGAACTCATACCCATGAGTACATTGTCCATATCCAATCTGTTACTTATGAATCCATATCCAACTCATATTCATGAGTCCATCATCAAAATAAAGTTAATTAAAAACACTTGAAATAGTTTTAAAAAAGGTGACGTGCTAATGAGAATTTTGAAAAAATAATTAATACATTTAAAATTTCATTTCAAGCTGCAAAATTATTTTTAACCAACAAATTGATAAGAATGTGAATAGCTTCAGCGGAGTCATCACAAGATGTAACAAGAGAAGTACAAATCATGTGACAAGAGTTTCATGATCAGAATTTTGAGAAGAAACTTCAAGTAATATAAAATTTCACTTCAAGCTACGAAATTGTGTTTAACCAACAATATGGTAAAAACATGAACGGGTGATAGACCGACAGTCAGTACATAATGTCACTATATGCAAGTGAGCTCTTCAAACGCATGACATGACCATTGCCCAAACAGAATGTCTAACGATTTTTGGGTGGAGCCTGCTGATTGACTCCATTTGTTAGGTACATAAAAAGTTGCGGAATAGTTTTTTCTGGAAGTGGACATCAAATAATTGCAATGGAATCCATACCCATGAGTACCCAATACCCATCCATTCCTTGTACGTACCCATGCATCCTAGCTCATACTCATTACCCATCCATTTATCCATGGGTATTGGGTACCCATTGCAGAACTCTGGTTTAGAGATTACAAAACTAAAGTAAATTATGTCTATTTTCCTTATACTCTCAACCTTACAAGATAATAATATACAAAGTAGACCTCATTTTTGTAGAATGTGTTTAAAATTATCAACACATTTTTCATGTTATTTTATGAAGTAAGGTGAAGTACAAGGAGATAAGGTTGCAAGGCATGTTTCATTACACAAAGTAACACAATCCGCGTCTTTTATCATTGTCATCTATACAGCTATATTAGCAATCAGTGCTCTCATATATGTTGTTTGCGGTGCCTGACATGTTTGGAGTAACCTCAAACATTTGGTTATTGTAGGATGGTGACATCAAGTATATTCATAATGATCATGTACTGATTGATTCAAATTTATATTAGTTTAGTAGATGTTACATGTATCATCAATATTCCATTCACAACCTTCGTATTCACAAACATCCATTTTGGCAAGAATGATCTGTTATCAATCACAGTAAGTGACCAGAAAACACTAAATCCTTCCATAAACATTGATATCTTTTTAGAAACTTCCTTATTTTTCACCAAGTATGATTACATCAAACTAAAACACCGAACCCGCTCGAAAGCTTGGAAAAACAATAACAAGAAAACACAACCCTTCACCCACAAGATATACCGTTTATTCTGTTTAAATTGAGAAAGCCGAGGTTTACTACACAAAGTTAACACATGAATCGACAGTCCTAGTACCCACGAAGCACTCTCAGGAGGTTGAGAACCCTACCAGACTGCACTTTAAATACCTTAGTGATTAGGATTAAAGAAGTTTCGCAAGAAATTTCTCGACCCTGAAATATTCCACGTTGGATACACGAGAATTTGGTTTGGAACATGATGACGGTGGGGTGCATTACCATTAGAGATGGCTACCATCAGATAGAATGATAAGTGTTGACTCATCACAAGTGTTTTGTGTTAAACATAGGTATCATCAAAAAAGTTTTCCTAGTTTTAAGAATAATCTTATAATTGTGGCAACCTTAGGATTTGGATATGTCTCTAGAACATAAAATAAAGAGTTAAACTTAATTTGGAAAAATAAAAAAGATAAATATTGCAAATAGAAATCTTGAAGTCACTAGATTAATAAATATTATGTGAAGTTCAAGCAAGATTATCAAATGTAAAAAGAATTTATATTTTTAATTTTCTAATACATACTAAAAGCAATAATGTGATTAGAGAAGTTGAAAAATATGTTTACATAAAAAAATCCAAGAGATTGTTCAAACATTCACATTCATTATCACACAAATGAATGTAAATTATCCACAATATCAATACATACATAGATTTGAAACTAAAATGATTAGAAGAAACTATATATGAATGACTAATTTTTGATACTCTAGCGAATGAGCATAAATTTTATTATATGTATGCTAGAGTATAATGATAATTCTAAATATTAATCTATAGACATCCGAGATAAACGAATATGCCATGTGAATATCTGGTTGGAGATGATTTCCGCCAGTAGGTTAGCGGCCATATAAAGACACCGCAATATATTCCCCAGTGGGATAGAAAGCCCTGATACAGCACCGCTAGATTATATTAACGAATGTGCTCAAAGACCCTTTGTTTACAGTACATTGCATCTCACGTAATTACACTTGATGTTATGAGGGTTGTCAGTTCCGCTAATTCCTCGATGTTCATGATTGCACACATGTTCGTGGTTCTGTCTGGCGATGCGTCCAGACGCGCATTAGCATCTTTCCGGTTTAGTTGAACGCGGTGAAGGAGGTGGAGCTCGACATTTGGGAGAAATTTCAGTGGCGTGGTTGGACGAGGTCGAGGTTCTAGCAATTCTTTAGGCGATGAATGGATGAGTAGCCAGGGCTGACTAGCTCCAGGCCAGATGATTTGGGTGAAGTAGGAAAGTCGCGATGACGGTAAAAAATGCGCAGCCGAGCACCTCCCGGCCTTCTTTGGTCAAATTTCGCATGTCAGTACTGATTCTCGTACCGAAGAGCGTCATTTTCATGTCTTCTTTTCACTCCTGCATTGTGTTCCACGGATTTCAAGTTCTCCACCGTCGTCGTTGCGGTTGAGAAATTTGTCGTCTCCTCTGTTTTTTGACTCTCGTCGAACGGCGACTCCTTGTGCAATTCTTGCTTCGTTGCTGAGGCTGTTCACTGTCAGTTCCAGATGCTCGTCAACTTTCCTGAAATTCGGTTCTGTACCTCGATGGTTGGCATGTAACATCTTTACGGAATGTCTGAATAAATGAATTTTCAATGCTTGTCTTCACACGTTAAATGCTGTAAGTAAACAGACCTGGAGTTCACGCTTTAGCTTTCTGTAACATTCTCTCGGCCGCTCTTAAGCCACTGCTACATCTTGGAAACCTCGCGTAAGTTTTGAAGTTCTGACAAGCACAGACGTTTCCTGTTCTATTCTTAAACCATTCGCATCTTGCCCCTGAAGTGTAAGGTAAATATTAAAAGCGCCTACATTTTCACTTGATTGAAGTGTTTCAATTTGCATCCATCAGGCCCACGGCAGAGAATTTGATTCCTATGCGATTGGATGTGGAGTACGAAGGCCGGAGGTTGAAGGACGCCTTCACATGGAATGTCGATGGTAATGCCGTGACTATTATTCTAACTTGAGATAATCTTTCGTATACAAATCAAGTTTGTTATACGTACAGTTCGTTATGCGACTAAGATTCAAAAAGTATAAATAGTGCCTACATGAGCAGGTAAGTACCTGCTCATGACTTACAGTGTCCTATTTTGATTCCTTGTCTTTTGGGAGGAACTTGGTTCAGACATTGAAAAAAAAATTAAAATCTTGAGTGCAGATCCAGATATTGAAATCTATCCTTTTGTTAGAAGAATGGCCAAAGACTTGAATCTTCCATCTGGTTTTACACCCATCATAGCACAACAAATGCAGGTAAACCCCGTCTTGTCTTTGCCTTGATCTGCAATGATAAATGACGCAGCTTATGAATGCATTTTGTTCAGGAACACATGTAGGCTCGTATAATTAAGTCGGCGTGATCTTGAAACCTGAGAGCATCTGCCATCAATCTGCACATTCGATTCAACTTTCACCAGCACGTTCTCCTCACTAGGGTTCTTTCTCCTCTAGTTCAAGACCTAATGCATACATCATGATTATAGTTGGAGTAACGAAAAACGGAAGCACATGTCACGTACAGCCTCATGGAACGATTGGTTAAGTTTACAAGGAATTTCAATGTATTACAGGTGCTACAAGTATTCCCGTTGTCAAATTTCTCTTATTTTTTTCACTCTTCCATCAACAAGCCAGTTCATGGCGTCTCTAGCGCTCGAGAGGAAACGTGTCATGGCTTGGTTGCGAGCTACTTGACATCTTCTCTATCTTGGTACTCAACAGACACAATTAGATGAATTCCGTTCACTTGAAGCTCAAGAAATGACGACTGAGGAGCGGGTTCAGACTTTGCGAGTAAGTACGTCTGAGGTTTTAAGGATGTGATTTAATAGTCTAATATTACCCTAGCATGTTGAACAGTTAGTAACAACTTCATAATGTGTCTCATCTGCTCTTTTTCATTACCCGACTCTGGGTTGTCCACCGAGAAAGTTTAGTACATAGTTTTTGATGGTTGTGAAACATCGTGCTTTTCTCCTTTCTTAGTTGAAGTTTCATGTTTATTCCAAATGATGAACTCGTCGCGAGTTTTGCTTCTCTATTGTTTGCAGTTGGACCTGAGAGTAAATAACACAGTCGTCCACGATCAGTTTCTTTGGGTAAGAACTTAGCTAGAATCTTGCTGTTTTTCCCGCGTAGTAAATAGATGTATCTTATGTTCCTTATGCTGCTGTGCCATAAAAATATGTTTCACAGACCATGTAAAATCATTTCCCAGTGAATTTGGAGCATGTTCAAGTCTTGCACGTTAGTTTGATTCTTCTCATTTTCTCTCGGTCGTTATTATTTTCCCCTTCGCCTGTGTGATGAGTTTAGTGGCTTTTGAATAAATATCTCTCTGACGTCTTTCATCAATTTTCTTCGGTCTTTTCCGTTATTTGGTATTAGTGTTTTCCCTCATCTAATAGAGCTAAATGGTAAATGGTAAATGGTAAATAGATCAAGCCCGTGGGACCCAAAGGGTCAAAAGGCTAAAAAACACAATACAAACAATCCAACTCCAACTACATTTACAATTCTACTCCAGCTACATAACTTAATTTTTTTACGGGAAGACTCCAATTCAAAACGTCGTTTAAGTTTTAAGTCTGCATATGTACATGTCGTTCTGTTCTGTGATTTGAGTTTGTGTTTTTCGCAATTTCCTTCAAATCCAGACATTCGCACTTATTCTTACAATTTCTCTCGCTGGTTATTATTCACCGACTCAATACAAATCGTATACTGTAATCCTACTTGGTACTTACTATACAGTGTACACTTCAGGTCACATGATTGGTTCATGCTGGATTATATTTTACATCTTTATATGATACTCATTTTCTCAATAATTTTTTCTCAGGACGTCAACAACTTCGATAGCGATCCTGAAGGGTTTGCTAGAGGGTTATGCAAAGATTTGGAGCTAGAAGATCCGGAGGTTGCTGTGAGTATATTATTGCATGTCAATATTACTTTATTTAATCTAGCGTCTGTAATATAGTAGAACTTGGTATTCGAACATCAAACATGTCGTCAGAACTTGGTGTCTGGTTTTACTCCGGAGGTCGTAGTAAAGCTACTACGCCAACCGCCGAAGATAAGCTTCCTTGGCATTAGTTGGTATATCCAAGTGGAGTTTTTTTAGAACCTTATTAGCGCTTTCTTTTACAGGATGAGTTTTAAGACTCTAGCTCTCAACGTACACAGTATGTCTTTCTGTGTTTGTTAGTCCATAATAAGATAAGATAAGATACGATCTGAGTTGCAGATTCAGATGGTTCATTCTTACCTAGGAAGTCTGGTTCATCCGTTACGTCGCTTGATAACTGTATTCTCTTTGACAGCCTGCCATTGCGCTGTCGATACGCGAGCAGCTGTATGAGGTAATAGCTCACAACAAAGTGTGTTGCAACATAGTTTCCCGAGTAGAGTGAAGTCATATGTTCCTGCTTTCTCTTATTTTGCTTTCCTTAGTTGTTTCGAATGGTGTGGTTCCATCCAAGCATGATGTACGTTGTTAGAGAAGACTGCACTATCTTTTTTTAAAAAGGGTCCGCGATGCTAGTGAACGAGTAGTCGACTATGCGTCATGTTGCAGATAGCGAAACAGAATATTGCGTCGGGAAGAGAAACTCGGATCAGCAAGAAAGTGCGACGTGAGAGCGGAGTGGATTTTACTCAACCAAGGTTCATGACTATCTCAGACTATCCAGTACTCCACAGGGTTTAATAAACTTAATATTCACGGATTGATTCTCCTAAGCCGTTTTAGTTTCCAAAGGTCCCACTAAAAGTACTCTTTGGGAACTGGCCTTTCCAAAACTTTGTGGTCTTTTCTGTGTTTTCTATTATTTATTGAATTTCGACTTGTACACTGTATATTCGGAAGCAATGTGCATTATCTTTGAACCTTTTTGCCATCTTGGATAGTGCAGATTGTTGTTAAGTGATTGTTGTTACCGGACATCTGGAAGAATAAAAATACTCGAATCTTGTTGCATTTCTTAGATCAGAACTGCAAGTGCTTGCATTAACTATGTGCATGACTTTCTGATATTTCATGCAGCGCTCTGGGTACGTTGGCAGTAAATTTAATGAGACGGCCAAACAGTAAGATAAGCATCGTCAGGTACTATCTCGATGTCTTTTTGTGTAATCTGGTGCGTTGGTGGTGTTAAACATGTCCATGCTGCATGAAGAATTAGGAATTTGGTGGCTTTTTACAATTAACTCGATGAAACCAAAGGCACTATCATGGAATCTCAAACAAGATAGGCCTTCAACCAAGCGGCCTAGACAGGCTGAGAAAAGTATCGACTATGTGTAGATGAAAATCATTCTTGAATTTAAGTAGACAATCTTTGTAAGACGAGCAAAAATGTGCAAAGACCGTCTTCTTAAATGACCATTGTGAAACCGACATGAAAAAATTGAAGGTGCTTTCGTCACAGTTTGAGCTCTCCTTTAGTCAATGTATATGTGCTGAAAATCCGCTTAACGGTTTACGTTTACAGCGGAGAACCAAACCACTGATATCCTCAAAGACTGAAGTTGCAGGGAGCTGATCCTTTCTTTTCTACTATGACAGGAGGAAAAACGAGTGGGACATGTTCGAGCCCAACGTTGAAATTCTAAGCGACAGAGAAGTTGAGGCTATTGATGCCAGAGAAGAGCGGAATGCCAGGTGAATCTCATCATTTGTCTATTATGATATGTTGATCTTTTGTAAGAAATTTGTGTGGAACAGTTCATCTTCTTACTCTCATCTATCCTTCTTTGCAGAATTAAGAAGCGACAAGAGGAGAAAGAAGATGCTTACAGTAGTCGTTACCTTCGAGTTTAGAAAGGTTTCCACTTTGGAGATACTGTACAAAATAGTTAGGTAGAGAAAGTTCATGAAAAGGAGGAATGAATGAATGCACTAAACGCAAGTAAAAAACTTGACATCTACTACCCGGATCGCTCTACCCTGGGTTAGAACATAGAATCCTCTCAATATCTTCCAGTACCAGCAACGGGACGCAATATGCCACTCGCATCCTAGATTCCTAATCACCTCGTAGAAGGAAGAGTTTCAGTAGACCGGTGACGAGAGGCTTGAAATTTTCGAATGGCGTCCCTGCTTAATCGCCTCGGAAGGCACACATGCCAATTTTGAGAATGTATAAAGGAGGTCCACTTCTCACACCTATCCCACCACCCACGGCTTTTGCTCAGGAAGTTGCCTCTGTCTACTTTGAAGCAGGTCCTTTCTTTCTTGTAGTGTCAATATGCTGAGCCAAACAGGGCTTTGTGGATTTTCATTACAACCGTCATCTGCAATCGTTGGATTCTCTCTCATCTGTAAAACTTTCCATGTGCACACTTCTTCCTCATACAGCGATAGCGAGTATAAACCGAAATTTTCTGAAGATTCACCTTTAGGTGATTTCACATGACTTGTCATGTACATGCCTGTCACCGGTGCTCATCATTCACTTGTAAATTATACGTACATTGCGGAAGGCGCCTTCCGTACGGCACATGCATATCAACGACGTGCCTAGTCAAGGATCGTCACATGCTGTTGTATGCAGTAGAGTGCTAAAGTGAGCGAGAAAGTAGCAACTGGATTTCGTTGTTCGTCAACCACAAGTTTTGCCCATAATGTACATGATGATACTAGATTCTGGAGCTATTAGAAGCAAACTTGATTTGGAACGGTCAAGGCTACAGCCACTGAATCTTAATGTTTGGGAATCGTTGAGACCTGAATATATTTCGGGAGGCGGTGAGGATAGATGCGCATCACTACAACTTGCGGATCGAAAAGTCAACAGACAAAATGACGTCAAAGGTGCGACTTCGATAGAATGCTCGAAGCGTAGAAACACGAGATATTCAAGTGGACAGGAAAGAAAACCCAATGGAAGACCGAAGGAGCAGAAACTAAACGTGTTATACCTTTACGAAAGCATTGAACGGATAAAGATTCTACTCGATCCTCGTCGATGTACACTCAGGCTTACCTCACCCACGAGGAACACACCCAGGTGCCAAAAATACTGCAGAACTCGCTCGTTTGATGTAACCACATAGCTAACGAGCTATTCAAAACTGGCCAGTGAGTTCTGATTTCACACCAAGTCACTCACTTACCTTCACAGTTCTCAAATAAGTCTCTACTCTAAATGGACCTGACAATCGCATAGTTCCTTATCATTGCACATCTACTGCAAGATAGAATGGTATTAAACTTAACCCCATGATCACAACTTGGCGTATATTCTTACATTAAGCAAAAGAGGAGACACGATGCAAAAGCAAAAAGGATGGGCAGCGCCGTCGTGTAGTCCAAAGATGGCATCTAACGGTCAAACAATTGATTTTTATCCAATAGCATCATGGTGTAATATATATTTGAACACCTAAGTATATACTTTATATGGTTGAAATTTACTATGAGCATTTGAGAAATATTGAGTTTAATGTGTTAAAATTTTATGTATTACATGCATTAATGGTTTTTGTTGACCAATGAAATATGTTGACTGCAATGGTTTAGATAATAATCTAGAGAATGACACTTCAGGCTCCTAAGTACAGAGTCTTTCATAACTACATATAGTTCCAAAATCAAATGAATAAATAGATGATCTGTCCGTATGCCTGTACCTTGGATGTCGTTGTTACAGTAGCCATCAATGCAGAGGAACACATCATCATCTACTATTAAAATCTATAATCACCAAGTACTATTAGCTTTGTCTTTCCAAATTATTTTAACTTTTTGACTTAACCTTGTCGAAAGTAAAGCATATTTAACACATAATTCATGTGAGTTATTCACAATCTTTTGCCATAATAAATATCACAAAAAAAGTATACACTCCGTTTACCTCACGGAACTAATTATGAAAGACTGTTTCACCTTACATACTTTTTAATTTTGGAATTGTTTAATTGTGAAATACTAAATAGTATAACACATATTTGTCATCACCTTAAAAATTCCAAACCTATCCCCTGGTTTGACATTCGGCTTCTTCTTTGAAGCACTTGATAGTATATTACAATGATTTTTGCTAGCTATTTGGCCCCCTTCCTCAATTAAGTCTAAAATGGTATGGCATCAAGGGAGGAAATTACTTGATGGGACCGTGGGAAACTCAGACACTTTATGGACCCAATAAGTTTCAGATCTGACCCATCGACGCCCTGCGGCACCACCGTCAGTGATGTTCCAGTACAGTACTATCTGGGATTATTTCGTGTATAAAGATGAAATCAAGGTGCAGGCTCATGGTGCCCGTCGTTTTCTTAGACATGGGTGCGAAGGAGTCGCCAAAGTACTCTTGACCGACAGTGGCGGACACTCCCACTCTATAGAGCAAATCAGTAAGTTATAAGAACATGGCTGACGGGGGGTCGAATGGGGTCCCATCCGGTAAATTGAAGCCTGTTGGGTCCGTTCAAGAATATTAAGTTTCCAAGGGTCCATCAAGTAATTTCCTATAGGCTTGGCCACAGAAAATTTGTGGGCCGGCTAACCAGTATATTAACCGGTCCAGGATTGGTCCGTATCGGTTACTGTTAACCGATATTTTTAACCGGTCCCGACGGTTAACCGATTAACCATCGGTCCGGACCCCTACCTCCCCATCGGTCAGGTAGGGGTCCGATGGGGAGGGGCTTAATATCTAAAAATTCTCGATGGTGGAGGGAAAGAGGTGGGCCGCGACTCAAATGAGCCCACGGTTGGACGTTCAGATACTCGAGTTGAATTGTACCAATTTGTGTAAAAAATTTCTGGCTAATTTTCTCACACTGAATCACGAAATGGGTACCTCGCTGGAAATTTTAGGAAATTTTTTTCCTAAAATTTTTTTCTCCGGACCGGTTCGGAGAAATCTGGGACCGGTTAACCGGCGGTCCGGACCGGACCCTGGCCAAGCCTAATTTCCTAGGCATCCAGGGGTGGAGTAATGATGAAGATGTATGGACAAGCCAAGAGAAATCTTATAGACCTGATAAAAAAAAAAAACAAATAGCTGGTGGTAACATCTTACTCATCATAGGACCGTATTCACTTTTGTAGGTATCACCCTGAAAGAAGGTCAAGAAGCCTATGAAAGCTTCAGTGGCTGGTCAGGCAAGAGGACGAAAAATTGGCAACGCAGAAGTGATTGTTTATGAACGATACCGTTTGCAACTTTTGCGAGCTACTCGAGAAATTCTACCAAAAGGCTCGTGAGGAAGCTAGTGGTGTGGCCCAAGGTCTGTCTGTGCTCGAGTCTGAACGAATGCACTGACGTAGGCAATCAGGAGAACGTACAACATTCGAGTCGATATACTCGATCCTTCCCTATTTCTCTTCATGCTCTTCACACCCATAGGGCTTTTATGCTGCACATCGGTAGCATATATGGCCAGTCTATCAGTCAGCTGCCTAGTCGTTCGTTCGTCATCATCATATCCACTCCCTCTGGACTCGAGATGCTGCCAATCTCCACTTCAGTTTATCCAAAAGGTCGTCTGCAGCTCAGTAGTTTACTCCAAAGTTTGTCGTTCGTTCGAAATGCATGAATTCGTACGTACGTACGAATTCATGCATTTCACTCGCTCTACAACAAATCCTCCACTTCATATTCCTTCAGATCTTACTATATTGCTGCGCATGTCGAAGGTACTGCCGATTATGAGAATGTCGAGTATGTGCAGCAAATTGCTGGATGTGGGTTGAGAGACATGACGAAGAGGAGCACAAGGATGAGACGACGGACGGGTCGCGAGAAGTCTGTCTGTCTGCCTGTCTGTCCTGTCTGGGCTGCATGGAAATATGGAACTACTTCGTCGAATGTTGACACTACGTCACGATCCAAACTATCCCCTGCCTCCTGAACCCTTTCCTGTTGCCGGCTGGTGTTCAAGTTTGGACCTGTCAGAGTTTGTAATGTATGTTGACCCCATGGGGTCTAGGCTGTCACGGAATCTGAAGCAGAGGTAATTTGCCCCACGTGTTTTCCTCAGCACTGGTCGGTTTTATATATACACATCGGAGATCGAGAGATTCGGCCATATGTCGTTTACTCCAAATATTTCGAATAGTTCGAATATTTTAGTCGCAATAATAGACATTTCCGGGTGTTACACTTTTGGCGCCAGAAATTCGGTACATGTTTGGTTTCACTCTACAAGGCTCGATGGGATCTTGCGTACTTGGCTCCACTTGCACTACTTCCAAGGCACATCCGCGTGACAGCAGTTTGGATTTTCTATTCATGTTGGACAGTCTGAAGGGTGGACCAGGAGCTGCATACAACGAGCTATATAATAGAGTCACCAGAGCAAGAAGCTGCATTTAGCAAAGGTCTCGATCGAGAGAAACGGCTCAAACTAATGAGGAATTTAAGATGTCAGACCCATCGAGAATACCGAGCAAGAGATCACATCCCACACAACTTGAATGACGGTTGCTTACACAGTACAGAGTGAAACTTCCCAATAGTGGCGTAAATTGTCGTTTAGGTTTTAAGTAAGTAAAGTATTGGGAAGTGTCACTCACAGGAGGTTGGGTAGCATTTAGCGGACCATATAAAATCATTCTTATTTTGAAATATCCTCGTTTATCATATACTCTAAATATTTATTGGATTATTTGCCGTATAGTATCATTTTTCATAACTTGTCTTCGAATTCAAATATTGGATTGTTTTTAATAATTGTAACCTCAAGTAAAAAAATAGAGTTGAGATTTCCAAGTTCAATCAAAGTTATAAATAATAAATTGTGAAAATAAATCTGTAGAGTGATTTGTGTCTTTTCTCTTCTATGAAATGATTGAAACAACAAAATGAAAATAACGTAACACAATAAATAATACAAGTTTTTGTATGATGGGATTATGTGGGCAAGTAAATTTTAATAAATTGAGGTTACACAACCACATTGTCGCGTTTTAACTAAAGCTGGGTGTGATGGAGCGCAAACTTGTTGAGCGAGCGAGTGCAAGGAAGTCCTAGGGCAGCGAGGGGGAGTCAAGGCAGGGCACGTGGTGTGATTTCATACCTTGTTAGCGGCAAGCAAGAGTCGAAGCCAAAGGTTGGGAGTTCCGCTCACGTAAAAGCAATAAAGAATCAAATTCAAATATTTTCAAAAAATCACGGTTAAAACTATCATTATTAGATAATATCATATTACTATTGCTAATAATGACACAACCGTTATTATTGGATAGATCTACAAGTTAAAAGCTAATGGTTTTTGAGTTCTATGTCACTAATAAGAGTTGATACTATTCGGAGATTTAACATTGTACTCTATTGTCAAGAGACTTCGCGCATCCTTGATCTCAATTGA